TATTATTATTATTATTATTGTTGTTGTTGTTGTTGTTGTTGTTGTTGAGCTGGACAGGACCAGATCCCCTTGCTGGCAGGTTTGCTCTGAAAAAAGTCCCAGTCGTGAGAGTCCTACTGCGGTGCAGCGGGCGAAGTGGTTACATCCTCGTTTGAACCCCTCCGGGAACCCTTGCCTCCTGTGAAACCCCGACGAGGGTCGCCTTAAATCCGGAGCGGTCTCAGAGCACCCAACGAAGGCGAGGTTACTCGCTGAAGACCGGGGAGTCGCGCCACCCGCTACATCAACTCGGGGCCATCATCAGGACTGGACTCCAGTCCCGAGTGAGTGAGTGTTTGGGGAACAGCAGCGGCGAGCGTCTGGATGCATGCCTGGGTCCTGGATGCAAACATTGCTCAAGCCGAGCACACTCACGTCCAGAGCCTGGGCGTGCGACGGGGGCACTTGGGACCCATCGGAGAGCCAGTTTTCTTCAGCCTGGCGTAGAACCAGCTTCATTGGGAGCCGGTTCTAGATATGCGGTACAGGGGAAGACTACCTGTAAGGGCTTGTTTATAACTGCAAGAAGATTTGCCCCGTTTTCTTTTTAAGGGAAGGAACTTTATTTAGGAGGACCTGTTGTGTAAGACATACTATTTCTGTACAGTATCTTATACAGTATGCATCAAATCCAGCTGTTTCAACACTAGTATGAGTAGCTCTCTGTAATGGAGTGAAAAACAGCATTGGTCGGCACCGTTTTATATGACTTACAAGCCATTCATTATGGTCTTAAGTCCAAAACCAGCCGCTGATTTCTCAGTCTTCAGGACGGAATGCTGGACAGATCTAAAATTAAAAATATCCAACAGGAGGCAAATGAAAACGATCAAAATACTTGGACCTATTGACGATTGGCATAGGTAGATGGGAATCTGTGAAAGCTGCTACAGCGATGCCACCTTCCATGTCCATACCATTTATTTTCCTCCCCACTCCCCATCCTTCTCTCTTATGTGTTTTCTCCTGTCTGTTCTTGTATGGAGACAAACCTGAATGCCCCCTGTAGTGCAGAACTAGTTGCAGTTGTTGGTGTATGTAGCAGGAAACCAAGCAGGATATGGGAGGTCAATGCTGGAGAAGGCAAGGGTCAAAGAGAGACATGAGTTTGTATCTTTAAAAAAAGAATAAAAACTTTAAATAAAGATATATAAAAAATCAAAATATCTAAGGGTAGTCTTATTGACCAGATTTAATTTATCCATTTAAAGGCAGAGCCCATGAACCAGCTTCATATAAGCCCCATTTATTCATTCACCTATCCCTAGTTGATACACAATCATTGCACATCTGCTCTTTCACCCAACTTTATGGAAGTTATTATCATAAACCCACTGTTAGAGTGAGGCCAAGAGTAGAGATCCTCTCGGCAGAGTGTCGTCCCTTCCACAGACAATAGAAAGAGAGGTTCAGACTTCTCCCATCCCTGCCCCTTGAAAAAGAGAACAATGGGGCACCAATACCCGGGAACTGGAACAAGAGTTGTGCAGGTTGGACGGGAAGAGACAGACATCAGAGGGTGGAGATAGGAGTGAGAACAGCGGAACTAAAAGGGAGAATCAGTCAGTTGCTGTCAGGTTGGGAATAGGTATGGTTACAGGACGCTTGGACAGGGTCTGGGAACGTCTAAGGAAGAGGCCAATTACTGCCGCAGGAGAGAAATACCTCCTAGGCCATCTTACTGGGGAGAGGCAGAGGCTTGAGAGTGGCGGTGGAGGTTGAGAGAGGAGAAGGTGGAAAAGGAAAAGAGAGGTTGGCATGGAGGGTAGAGGAGATGAGGATGAGAAACTACCAAGGAGGACCCTGGGCGACCCTTTCTCCCACCAGAGACAATGGATGGGCAGACTTCCCAGTAGAGGAGACCGTTCCTTGATTAGAAGGACAGGCCGGGGAGGTTCTGAGGGAAGAAGCAGTGACAGACTGGCCTGGCCCTTGGAATGCATCCAGAAACAACCCCTTTCTTGAAGAAGCTTGGAAGCCCCTGTGTGACCCGTTGGAGACAGGCGAAAAGTTATGGGACCCCTTTTTGATACCGGACTCTTGTTGAATAATCCAATAAACCTTTCTCCTATTTCAAATTTTAAAGGACCTCCTGATTCTTTTAAAAAACTACTGGATCCAAAAGACGAATCCTCACAGCCACATGGAAGTAAGCACCATTAAACACAATGGAGCCTCTCTGTGAATACATAAACATACACTCTGTGGCTTAAATCCAATAGATTCAGTTATAATATTCCTCCTGAATCAATGGGAACTTGGTAAGTCAAAACCTATGCAAATTCTGTTGATTCTTTGAGGACACAACAACACAGCAGGAAAAAATGTGAACTTATCTGCTCTGAAATTACACCTGGGAAACTGGATGTCCTGGTTAAATTCACTTTAATTGTCCATACAGGAGTCTAGAGAAAGAGCTATCCAGTGAGGTTGGGTGTACTCTGGGTAGGTTTAATTTTGTGTTTAGCCCTCTGTCTTTCAATGTTAACTTTTTAAACTGAGGGTTTTGTGAGGATATGGGTTTTGTAGTGCTTGTTTTCCAGGATTTACAGATGTTTTGTCTTGGCCAGAGGCCTAGCTGTTGTTGTGGAAGAAGAGCCAGGGCCACATCTCAAGACTGATAAACATAACTCACGATCCCCATGTGTCTCCTGCTTGTTTCACCAAATTAAGACCTCACACTACATGTATTTCAGCTGCCACCAGCTGATTACATCAACATTGCCTGTTATTAACAATAGATGTCCAGGGCATATGTCATTTTAAAAGAACCAAATAGAAATTGTTTATTGTTACAGGTGCTGACAGGACAAGCAATGATGTTAAATTTTAAACATCCTCCGTCATCCAATCTCAACCACCACTCTCCCACCCAAACTCGCAAAACTCTCCAAACTCTCAATCTCCCTGACTCTATCGACCCTTCCTCTTCCTGCTGAGTCTCTTATATCTTGTGACTCCACCCTTACAGCACTGTCATTGGTATATGCAGATATCATATGAATATTCATGACCTGGGCAAACGGCACATTCCACCCCACTTAATAAGTTTGTTTTAGGAAGGGAAGCTTAACGGCTTGCTCTCAAACAAATGAAGGTATAGGGAAGAATACAAATACAGTGGTGCCTTGTATAACGAGTGCCCCGTTTAACGCAAAAGCGATCGCATTACGATGTTTCCTATGGGGAAAAATCGCTTTGCGATGTTTCCCCATAGGCACCATTTTCCCCCAGCTGACCAGTGGGCACTTCGGAGCGACCACGGGGGAAACCTCCCCCGCAGTCCTTCAGAAGCCACCGCCACTCAGCTGGGGAAAAATTCCCCCCATCCCCCCGAGCCCGGCTAAAATGCCAGCTTCGGATGGATAGAGGGGGAGGAGGGATTCGCCCCAATCGCTTTGCGATGTTTCCCCATAGGCACCATTTTCCCCCAGCTGACCAGTGGGCACTTCGGAGCGACCACGGGGGAAACCTCCCCCGCAGTCCTTCAGAAGCCACCGCCA